GGGTGTAGGTAGACTAATACCTGTTTTGCCTGCCACATACTGCTTGCTTATTCACTTAGTCCTTTCCTGTACAACTTGCTAACATCGGCGATAGACAGAAATCAGAAGGTCTCCGATGACGTGCCTACTGCTCCTATCATTCACAAGCCTTCAGTTTGATCTATCCTGGTCGTAGATTTGCGGTAACAAAAGCCTCCTCACTGTTTACTAGTCATAATGATTTTAGGAGAGTTCAGAATAAATCAAATATAACAATTTATTATCAGTCAGGTAAATATGTATTATGCCAATTACATAGACAATTCAAAGATATCAAATCAATACAAGACATCAAATTCTCAAAGACAAATCTAAGAGTAAGATGCATACCTGACTTTTAGAAAAATACATAGTGTGAAGTGTGTGGACACCCTTCACACTACGGGCTTTCTGGCTACAGAATCGCCCTGACTGATTTGCAACTTTCCCTTAAATACTACCAGAACAAAGACAAAGAAATCTTTAAATCAGTTGTAAAAACATAAAAGACCTTTTGTTTGTTAGTTTCTGTGATCCAGGGTCACACCCGGCTGGAAACATTCTCACAGACCCCTAAAGGGGGACACACCCCCTCCTCAACACAACACAATTCTACAAAAGTTTTAAGTCTTTCTCACAATATAAATGACTACTAATTTACCAATCGCACAAAGACCTTTAAAATGACGCTAAACATGAAGGGGAAAAACAACAGCTTCACAAGATACATGATATGTGGGATATGCATATTCTTAATGAACTTTGGGTGAAACCTTTTGGGGGAAAAGAGGGAGAGGCAGAGAGGCCAGGGGGAGAAGGGGGTCGTAAATGGGCGAGGAGAGAGGCGTTGTTTGCTCTCTTTGAAGATTTCTTCTCCAGATAAGTTTGATTGTTTTATTGCATGGCGTCTGTTTTGTGTGAGTTCCTGAGTATTGGTTTCATGAAGAGTTAATTTCATAAGGAAATAAATTAAATCCTTTCACTGGAAACAGATGACACTGGAAGCCTCGCACTTTCAAGTTACAAATGGCCACACACGTTATTATTTTAAAAATAAGGTGAACAGTTGAATATTTATTCTTACTTCTGTTTTCTGAAGAGAACATTGCACATGTTGATATATTGTTGCATTGTTTTTACATGCCAAGTCTAATGAAAATCGTCTCTGGTTACGCATGTAACGTTTCGGTTGCGTATGGTAACCCTTGTTCCCTGAAGGAGGGAACGGAGACGTCACGTCGGATGACTGACGAAATTGGGATCTCGGTTAGAGAGACCAATCTACTTCGAGTGTAAATTAAACGAGCCAATGCACATTGACGTGCGATTATTGCAACCAGCTGCCGCTGATCACAGCGTGAGTATAAGTAGGCAGCAGATGCAGCGCATATTCAGGTTTTCGCTGAGGAGCCGAGCCGGTGACCCGTCCGCTCAGCGGTGGTACAGGAGCTGTGGCGACGGGACGTGATGACCGACGAAATTGGGATCCTACCAAGGCCGCCCTCGGCGACAGCAGCAACTGCACGCTCGGGCAGGATGTACCTGATGGCCTCAGTCTGCTTTGGTCAGCGGAGAACTGCTGGGCAAGTTCTCCACCTTGTCGCCGAAAAGGCCGACCTGGGACACGGGGCGTTCAAGAATCGTGTCTTGTCCGTCTCGCGCATGTCAGCCAGTCACAGCCAGAAATGGCGCTCCTGGACCACCATAGTAGACATCGCACGACCCAGAGGCCGCACCGTAACCTTCGTCGCTCGTAGCGCGAGGTCCGCTGTGGTGCGGCGTTCTCTGCGAACTTCCGGGTCGTGACCACCCTCGTGCAAGTCCCTCAGTGCCTTGGCCTGGTGCACTTGCAATCACGTCGTAGTGTGTAAGGCGGAGGCAGCTTTGATGTGTGCAACCCACTCGACACGGGAAACCACCACCGCTGAAGCGCCATACTGCCAACACGAAGAGCTCTCCTAGAGCGCGCTGAACTCGTTCAGTCTTCTTCTCTCAGTAGAGTAGTCAGGAGCAGAACGATGTGATCGCTCGGCTCCGAAGTGAAAAGCTGAATATGCGCTGCATCTGCTGCCTACTTATACTCACGCTGTGATCAGCGGCAGCTGGATGCAATCATCGCATGCCAATGTGCATTGGCTCGTTGAATTTACACTCAAAGTAGATTGGTCTCTAAGCGAGATCCCAATTTCGTCGGTCATCCAACGTGACGTCGAGAGTGACCGACTGAAAGGGAACCATGGTTCCCCAAGAGGGAATGAGACGCTGCATCCTCTATCAGACACTATGGGGACTGCTGCCAGCAGGACCGGTGTTTGAAGCACGTGTGAAACAACTCCAATCCCATTGGCCCACGTAGCCCGTGACGTCACAGGTGGGCACCCAGAAGCATAAGAGGGCGCCTGCTGAACATGTCACCAACTTGGTTGTCTGAAGGAGACATAAAAACAGGCAAGCCCTAGGCATGGCGGGGGGACGTAGCATCTTGTTCCCTCTCGGGGAACCATGGTTACATGCGCAATCTGAGTCCTCTAGCAGACACTATGAAGAACGGAATGCCCACTCAGCCATGCCACGGCACATGCCTGTTCAGAGCACCAAGAGAAGTGACAGACATACACCGTACCTTCCCTCAGAAAGGGAGCAAGCCACTGACGCCTGGGGCCACCAACATAACTTGGAAAAATGGGGAACCCAGCCAATAGGAGAGACATCCCATTAACCAAGCTAAGAACACAGCTATCCTCAGAAAAAGCAGCATGCAGAGCCCAGAGGGACCGCCCACTTATAAACCCCGTAGAAAGGGGGGGCAGCCCACCCCTACTACCTGACTAAGCTTAAGGGATTAAGGAAGTAGACCATCTATCAAAAACCCCAAGGGAAGATGGCTAGAAGAGGCTCAGGGGGCTGCCTATTTGAAAATCCCTGATAAGTGGGGCAGCCCGACCACAGAGTTGGGCTGGGTTTTGACACAAATTTCACGATTCGATTCGATTCTCATTCACAAGCTTGCGATTCGATTCGATTACCTATTCGATTCAATGTCGATTATTTTGGATATATATCAGGTACAGTGCATGCCAATTTTTTTTAAAGGAAAGAAATCTCTCAACTAATGCTGTAAAATATACATGAGAGTCAATCGGTACTACATTACAATAATATTGATGGTTAAAATTGACTGATTTGGTAAAATTACACTAATAATAAAGTTACAATTACATATTAATATTTCTACTTCAATTAGTTTTTTTTATATACTGTATATATATATATATAAACATAATGGTGGCTTTCATAAAAACTTGATGGATTTATTCAAACATAAATTAAACATTGAAGAACAGTAAAATTTATAATGAATATGTTATATGGTGCATATATTTAGCAAAATGCCCCTCTCTACAGTTTATTTTTTATCTGACTAATGAGTTTATGGTCACCAAATATGTTTTTTCTGAGGTAAATGTGACGTTGCGTGACATTGTTTACAAACCGTTATATTGGCGTCTTTGTGCAGCTGAAACACTGATTGAGCGATTACATGAGAGGATACGGCTTGTAAGGTTGTACCCTTTCTTTTAACTTACCTTCGGATGTTTAGTCATGTTTATTTTGTGCTGAAACTGGTATTAATGTAGACGAGATTATTAGTTCACGTGCACCTCGCGCTGCTGCATCTGTTGAACTGAGGCGCTACAGCGATCTGTCACTCCACATTAAACAGCGACAAAACTGCTTTTCTTGTTTGAATACTGCAATACAGTGGACAGAATTTGAAACCTGAGACTTTGTTTCATATTAAAAGTACCAAAGCACAATGCTTACTGCAAAATATTAGATGGGAAGTGCCCTTCAACGTTCCCTCCATTAACTGAAAACAGGCTAGACTAATCGATTCTTGTGATTTAAGAATCGATATCGTTCCGTAAAAATTATAATAGATTAATATCGAGATATCTGTATTTTTTACCCAGCCCTACCACAGAGTGCTTGAAAAAAGCCTTCATCACAAGGGAGAGACTGCACCTTCAGTCAATGGTTTGTCCCTTATCCCTCCAGAAGAGGGACAAATGCGAACGGAGCTTTCTCATTGGAAACTTGTCACAATGAGTGCATTCAGAGCCCTCGAGCACCGAACACGTGTGTTCCTCACCAAGGCACATAACACATAGATCGTGTGTGTCCTCGGGTGTCAAAAATCTAGGGCATGGAGGCACACACTTTCTAAAATGTTCACTTGCCTTGGTTTTCCGCACAACGCCTTCACACGCACTGTCAAACCCGTGACAGGTGCCCGGCTGTGACGTCATGGGCTACGTGGGCCAATGGAATTGGAGTTGTTTCACACATGCTTCAGACACCAGCCCTGCTGGTGGCAGTTCACATAGTGTCCAATAGAGGACGCAGCGGGAGTTCCCTATAAGAGAGAAGGGCATTTGTCCTATTTCAGGGCACAGGGGAAGTAAAACATAATACAATTAGTCTTTGGTAGGATGCCAGATCTGCACCCTGGATCAGTTTTCAGCTTGTGCTGGCTAAGAGGAAGTGAACTGAAGCTCACAATCAGAATAAGTAGACTCTCAAGAAAGAGGCTGAGATTATTTTTATGGTTACTTTGAGATGGATTTAAAAATCAATATTGGTTTGAATACTGGATGGCATTCTTCTGTTTTTATTTTAAATGTAATTTGCACCGAACTGGCTAAAAGGCTAATGTATTTTACTAATGGATTGTGTTGTTTTGCGATCTTAACATTTAGTTTGCTTAATGTTATAGTATGTGAGAATGACGGAATCATTGGAAAAATAAATCTAAAATCATCTGACTATGAAATTCACATTCCATTTGGACTCTGCAAAAGACAATCCGTCCATTAAGACTCATCAGGATATTCGTCCTATCAAATCACACCTATACCACACCTCTCTAGTGCTAATGGGCTGCTCAGGCTCACTGAGTGCCTCTATTTCACTCCCAAATTTGATTTCCATCCAAAACCAAATCTCTTTAAAGTGCTGGACTAACAGATAAGAGACATTAGATGCTGAATGTAATGTTTCAGCGCCTGCTAATATGACCAAATCCCTCTGATTTCTGAGGGGGAAATCCCTTCACCACTGGCACCTGGCCATCTCCAGTCCTTCTGCTTGACAGATTAAAAGAAAAGAGCCAAATAACAGCCTCAAATGCAGATTCATTGAAACCACAACCCAGAAGCTCTGCAAAACTATGATATGGGGAAAATCTGCAAAGACAATATGATTGACAAGTGTGCTTTAAGGAATTACTTGTGTCTGTCACGGATGGATAGGAGGATGGATGATAAACGATGATATAGATTCCCCAATAAAATAAGTTAATGAAAAAATACAACCTATTTTTTTTCAGCTTTCAGAACTATCATTTGGCTTTGGCTTTTTTTTTACAAGTGGGTTTGCATTCTTAAATGTGAAGTGTGTAATTTCTGTACCGCTAGTCTAACTATACAAAATTGCAAAAAATACTGTCTATTCTGCATGATGACTTTTAATGTGTTTCCTTACAGCATATTTTCATGAATTTTTTTCCCCTCTTTCCATGTCTTCCCTGCCCTTCACTTCCATTTTGTCCACTGACATGCTTCATCAGAGGAGTCATTCCCGTCATTCTCCTGGGACTTTACTGGAAGTATGATCAACTTTTTGTATTCAGTTTTCTAGTAATATATTCTAGGCTTGACATAAGAATCTACATCAGTGGCTCTTAAACAGGGGGCCTCACCAAACTTCTAAGGGGGGTCTCAAAATGATTTAAAATGTTTTTAAATAATACAAAACAAGACTTGGAGTCAACAATGTTGAGAACCACTGATCTAAGATTAACTTTGTTTTGTTATTATTGGATACAGTAAGTCCCAGGTCTGTTTGTCCTCAGTGTCAGTAGGAATCTGAGGATCAGCAGCCTGTTGCACTGCAAAACATGAAATCAAAGGAGGTCTAGTACTGTGACTCTAGGGCCAGTGACCTTTGATCATTTCAGGCAGATTAAGAAGCACACCGTTAAAATGCACCTGTCGATGGGAGCATAAATTGGGGGTCTAAGCCCAAAATGAGTATTTCCTCAAACGGGATTAGCCCAGCTGTTACAGGTGTTACATTGCCTCTAATACTTTGATACCATAATGATCCCTTAGATCGTCAGTGTGGTTTGGAGTTCATCCCAGTTTTGATGCATCTGAGATAAAATTGAGGTTTAGCATACAAGACAATGTTATTACAGGGAGTTTCAGAACAGCATTCCTTGTAATATTCCAAGATAACAAAGTCCAAAAGCATTCATCTGACTTCATGTAACCACCACCTTGTTTACTTTCTCAGCCCATTCCTGATTCCCCCATGAGACGCTCCGCATCCACTTTTGCACCACAGCGCCCTCAGGAGGTGAATCTGAATGACTACACTTTGGTGAAACCTGTTCAAGAACGACATCACCACCATCACCATCATCACCGATGCCATCATCGTAGGGACAGAGACAAGAAACAGAGATCTCTGGACAGGTCGCCCACTGGCCAACACAAAGCTACAGGTCAATACACTTTCATAAGATCCCTGTAAAATACAACTCAAAACTAGATGCATGAAGTGATGTAGCACAATGTTTTCATCCACGGATTTCTCTGGGGATTTTTAGTTGCATCAGTTGCAACTGATTCTAAACCCAGATGGGATTCGGTTGTTTTGAGGATTGGTGAAGTGCAGAAGCAGGGCCTGGTGTGAGAGCGTCCGGCCGCAGCTGGCCTCTATTAGCCAGATAAAAGGGACTGACAGACATGTTGACCCATGACCTGATAATTTATGGTTACCTCTCAGCAGGCCAATTGAGAACATGGAAGAAAAATTCAGGCAGTCAGGTTTTTGACTGGAGTCTGAAAATCCAGAGGAGAGGGGAGACTGGGAGAGATGGATCTGCCACAGCAGGGCTCAATAGCTCAAGAAATCCTGTTGGTTTTGTTTTATTTTTCCTTCAAGTTTATATAAAAAAAAAGCAGGAAGGGGTCAAAAAATCCTGACCTGTTTGGCACAGATAATTGTACTTGAATTTAAAATACGATTTTTTTTCTCAGTTGTTAAAGGGTTAGTTCACCCAAAAATGAAAATTAGCCTGTGTTTTACTCACCCTCAAAGCATCCTAGGTGTATGTGACTTTATTCTTTCAGACGAATCCAATCTAAATTATATTAAAAATTGTCCTGGCCCCTCCAAGCCTTTCAATGGGGGGTAATGGGTGTTGGTTGTCAACAGTTCAGAAGACGTGAAATAAAGTGTACGCATCCGTAATAAAACGTCCCTCACACGGCTCCAGGGGGTGAATAAAGGCCTCCTGTAGCGAATCCATGCATTTTTGTAAGATAAATATCCATATTTCAAATGTAATAAACACTTTTTTCTCACTTCCGCTGACTGTGGTACGTGGAAGACGTTCAGGCGGATGACAGTCAGCGGAAGTGAGAAAAAAGTGTTTATTATATTCATTACATTTGAAATATGGATATTTATCTTGAAAAAAAATGCATGGATTCGCTACAGGAGCCCTTTATTCACCCACTGGAGCCGTGTGAGGGACTTTTTATTATGGATGCAAGCACTTTATTTCACGTCTTTGAACTGTTGACAACCAACACCCACTTACCCCCCATTGAAAGGCTTGGAGGGGCCAGGAGAATTTTTAATATTACTCAGATTGGATTCGTCTGAAAGAAGAAAGTAACATACACCTAGGATACTTCGAGGGTGAGTAAAACACAGGCTAATTTTCATTTTTGGGTGAACTAACCCTTTAAGGAAGTCTTTAAGTTCTCACAAAGTTTTTTTTTTTTTTTGTAAGAAAATATGAGCAGATATTGCATTGTATTCTGCTTTCCACATTATTAAGACTTATTTTAATTTCTTATTTTGTTTTTTGACCTAATTTGGCAAATATTGTTTTTCTTTAAGCATCCTTTTTTTCTTAAGCAGTTTTGTAGTTAAAACAACAACAAAAAGAAAGTAATTTAATAATAGTAATAAGAATTAAAAATCTTCAATCACAATTTAGCTTTTCAAGTAAAATGAACTACTTTTATCTAGATAAAAGTACTGATTAAGGAAACACTTTTGTTGCAGTGCATGTTTTGTCGCAGTGCATTGTCTTTTTTCCCTCATATTTTTCGTTGGTTCTCAGGCACAGCCGCTGACCTTGTAGAGGAGAGGACGCATGACCGAGGTCGTTCCCACGAGAGGAAGCATCATTCATCTTCGGCGGAGAAGCAGCGGTATTACTCATGTGATCGCTATGGCAGTCAGGAACACTGTCCCAGCAAGTCTGCCGTGGCAAGCTGTGCCACTTCGCCTAGCGAGGCCCAGGAGGCCAGTCTCAACAAGCAGGTGGGATGGGGTTGTCAAGACAGGACAGGGACATGTGTTAAAATAGGCTAGGTCAGAGGTTTGAGACTGAAAAATGTTTAGGAATAAATAAAAAGATCTGTTGATTTCGATCTAATAAAAAACATGTTAGGGATTTGAGACAAGATAAAAATTTAATAATTACGAATGTTGAAATCTGTGGTAAGTGCCAAGATGCATTATACAGTAATAAAGATAATGTTCTGATTTAAACACAAGTTACGCTCTATGGTCAGCATCTGTGTCCCTCAATATAAGAAAAAAGCAATACACTTACAGTGGAAGAGAGGGCAAGAGATTTTTCAAATACACACTGTTTTGAAACACATATTTAAGACTTATATTGTACATTAACAAGATACTAACATGGAATGATGGAAAGTTCTATGCAATCTTTTAACTTCTGTCATTACCATATAACCTGGTACCCTTCACATGATGCGTGAAAGGATACTGGAAAGGGAAGTGGCGTAACCTTTCGCCAAGGACTGAACCAAAGTTTCACCCACAGAAATTAGGCAGTAATAGAAAATCATCCAAAAAGTAGAAGATCTTTCCAGTTACTGGATCATTTCTTTGCAACAAAATGGACTCTATCTATTGTCTATGTATTTCAGTATTTCCCATAGCAGACTGTGGTAGCAGCTAAGTCTTTCCATCATATTTTTAATAATATGATCACAACTAATTATATAATAATAAAGTATATTTTATATATTATTAATCTTTCTCATGATTTGCCACTGTAATTGCATTAATGTAAAAGCGGTTATTGTTTTTAGAAACTGCGGGACTAGTTTAAAACCTAGAAATATTCCTTTAAGTTATCCAATTTATTTTTCAGCACAGAAGTAAGTAACTTATTATTATTATTATTATTATTATTATTCTGTGAATGTACGAGATTTATGATTCATTAGGCGCTATAGGTAAATAACTATAAGAACAACAAAGTGCAGTAAACTGCAAAACTATTTGCGCTACAAACCAGTGTATTTGTGATTACAAATGTAAATCAAAATAATTTCACAAATGCTAGTTTGCAATGGCAGGCAGCATAACAGACTGTTTTGTGCAACTAAAATAACTGGAAGTGGTAAAAATAGCCACATCCACAAGGTGGATTGTGAGTATTAGACTGATAAAAGTTAGGTCAGTTAGCTTTTATACCTTTTTAATGAAAACAAAAATCAACATTGCATTGCTTACCTTGTCTGATGACAACTAATTTGTATGTTTAGAATAATATTAGTTGCATTTCAGGGATTTTAGCTGTTTAAAGTCAGTTTTGCCATTACATATTTTTCAGATGGTAAAGCAGAGAATGTAGCTATAGTACAGTTAGACTCTTCTGCACAGGCTGCTGTTGGATTTAAAGCTCTCAGGCCACCAGTCACAGAAATGCTGTAAAGTGATAACCATTCCTACTCAAGCAATGAAGATATTGAGATGTTATAGGATTTTTTTTTCTAAAGTGTTTTACATTTTGTGATATAAACATGATAAATTAAAATGTTTCTCTTCTCTACGGCTGTAGTGCAACCACTCATAGGCTTTCACTTCTCTTTCCACTCTTCTTCCACACCATTTCTCTGTGCATTTGTCCGTCATTTCTTTCTTTGTCTTCACTGTCATTTTCACTCTCTTCTTTTTTTTCATTTTTGTCCTATTCATTTTCCATCTTTTTCTGCTGTCTTGTCCAACATGTTACTTCTCCTTTCCTTCCGTCCTTCTTTGGCCCCTGGTCCTTATCTAACCTTTTGGGCATTTTCCCCTCACCATTTTATTGTTTTGATTTGCTTGTTGAATTTTCATCTAGGGCAGTGGGTGGGCTAAGGGGAGCCCGGTGTTGTTGACCTCAGGGGCGAGCACTCCAAGCCATGGGCGCAGACAGCTGCCCCAGACCCCCCTTACTCCTCGTCCCTCTGTGGCCTACAGGACTGCCAACTCCTCCCCTGTGCAGTTTCTGGGCACACAGGCCGGCTTGCTTCCCTCGAGTCCCGGCAGGCTGAGCCGCGGTCTGTCCGAGCACAACTCCCTCTTACACAGCGGCTCCATCTCCAGCTCGCAGGCCCCCGTCAGTCGCATTAACTCAGAACCCTTCCTTGGGCCCCCGGACCACCCTGCCGTCCTCCAACCCGAAGCCTACGCTGTCTTCCAAGAGGATCTGAGCCCTCAGATGGGCCGTTCTCCCCAGACTATAGGGATGCCGATCGTGGCGATTCCCCCACCTCCCCAACAGCAGTTCCGTGGGCTTCCCAATGGATACCACTTTACCATGGGCCCCGGCGCCAGCAGAGGACGGGCACGGCAGTACTACCCAGAGGCAGAGGTGGACGACTGGTGCTAGCATGGCTTTAATTTACACTCACACATACAGATGATTTTGTTTTTCGAATCATGATGAGTTTTATCATCTCTTATTTTGCGGGTGGTGTTAAATGCAGTAATACATGTATTTGTTTTTCAATGTCCAAAGGATAAAACATACATGTACACTTACAAAGCAGCAGATGTGGTATAAAAAGGATAAAATTCACCCAATTTGGATGTATTTCAGTCAGGCAAAATGGTTTGGTGGGTGTGGTCTCTTTAAAAACACACAAGATTGACAGTTTATGTGCAAACACATGGGCTTTCTCTTAATCTTTGCCTTTTTAAGGGCAACAAATGCCAAAATGTGCTTGTGTAACCTGGGAAAAGACTGACCCACTGCTTCAAATGTAGACCACAATGGGCATCTGGCCAGTTTCCCTCAAAGCCAGCCTCTGAGACGCACCCCAAATGCAAATATTCCCATGAAAATGTTATCTTGGCATTATAGATGTACCTTGTATCGTTTTATTTGGCGAAACGCACAATATCAGTGCCCCCCATCTCCGTCTAAGAGAATTAAACGTTATTTCACACTGTTGCTAAAGCAGATTGTTCATTATGCTGCTGATGACCATTCCTCACACATATCACTATGTGTGAAACCTTTGACAACCATATTGTACTTTGTTTTATATCAAATTGTGGATATTTTATCTATTCATTATGTGCTTTTTTGTATTGTAAAGACGAACGGTTTTACGTAAATCGCTTACGGCTTCATCATACTGTCAGGTCTAACAATTCTTCTTGACTGCTCCAGATGTTATTTACAAAGTGCCTAACCTTTTGAATATATTGTAGTAGTGATGCAACCTCAGTCTTTTTTTTAGTGCATCCACACTTGAGAGAGTGAACTGAACAAGCTCTAAGGGTTAAATGGAACTACAAGGTGTTACGATCGCAGGCCTTAATTCAGAAGATACAGTACCTTTGATTTCACATTAGGTTTTTGAATGGAAATGACAGTATGATTGTTTTGTTTTTTAAATTCTTGTCTCCTTTTTTGTACAATTTTAGTACTGAGTGGAATATTGAAAAATTCCGTCACCAAAAGCATATATTAGTATGGAGTACCTATTAAAAAACTGCAGTAGTTGTGTATTTGTCCTGACGGGGACTTTATAACCACAGTTGTAAAATTGCATGTTAAAAAAGTCTTCAATTCTTGATTGACCATGGTTAAGAAACCAATATTTATGGTGTATATTTCCTGTCCTGATGAAGATGCTCAGACTGCATTGCTATTTGCCTTCTCTGTTTGATCTTTTATGGTTATATGCAAGGCCTGAGAACCGAGGAACTGTCACAAAGCAGCATGCTTTGCTCATGTAGCAGGTTTCCTGATGTGAGCACGTGTTGCGTTGCATTGAGTCGGGGTCCTGGCACCGGTACAGAAGGCTGATCTGTGTTAAGGTTAAACTTTCACCCTCATGGCACTCCTCCAAGCACCCCCAGACACACATACACACTCACAGCTTTTATTCTGCCGCCGTTCCCCAGCTGCTGGCTGTATAGAAATATGGGCGGCTCCTTTTTATCATGCTGGTAACATGAGAGGAATATTGAGCCACCTGAATTCAGAGGCTGAGGCAGTCTGAAAGAACAGAAACAAGCCTCTGTATCGGGACACTGTACGGTCCAGGATTATTTCACGAGTTCTGCATTGACATACATGAATACATTAGATGCTTGGAGAATTGTTTGGGTAATCAGGTGATTCTTGGCCACTGATGTGTCAGGACTCTGCTGACAGTGAATGTTCTTTCCTTTTGTTTTGTTTTGTTTAAACATATATTTTCTTTATGTAGGGCTATGCAACGAGATGACACTTTGAAAAATATACTTCATTAATTTTGTAGCTTTACCTGCTGGGAAATCCAGATTCAGGCTTTAGCATGATAGTGACCAAATCTTTTTTTTTTTTAATATATATATATATATATATATATATATATAAAAACAAAAGAAAATGTATGAAAAAGTATATTTTAGAATGCATAAAGGCACAGTGATTTTAAAAAAGCAGAAATCAGCAAAAAAAATAATATATATATATATATATTTAAAAATTGCAAGTTTCTGTATTTGCATGCATCAGAGATGTCCAGTTTGTCAGGGGAAAAAAAGAAAAATGTTGTTTCAGATCTATAGTCTGAACAACTGCTATTTTTCTACATGCTCTTTGAGAGTGAGGTTAAAGGATGTGCTGACATTTTGCTGATATTGTTATGAGTTGTTGCATTGTTCACGTGTAACTATGGAACAAATCTTTGCACTCCCAGCACATCTATTGATGTCCTTCGGCATGTTGGCTCAAAACTGGGGTTCTGTCGATAAATCCATTTCTTCAGCTTCGCTATGATTTGGGAAAACATCATATTCATCTATCAAACCTTTCATAATTGATTGCCAAAATCTGAAATGCTCTTTTCCCCTGTACATCAACCAAGCTTAAATGTGGCTGTTTCCAGAAAGATTAATGTTTGCATGGTCTTAAAATGTATGTGCATGTTGAAATACCCATGGGTTATCTTCATACTTTTTGATACAATGCATTATTTTTTTGGTTTGATTTTTTAAATGACCTTTGATATGAATTAGGGGATTTGTTGAAATAAAAAAAAAGAATTGTTGAACCATTTATAAATAAAGGAAAAAGTATTGATATGTTGACAGCTCCGTCCATGCATAAGAGCTGGCACATCCTTTATTTGATTTCTGCTATTGACTTGTTTGTTGCCTGATTTCTGTTCCATGGCCAGACTTTGAAATCTGCAGTTGTTTCTACTATAACATTTTGTATTAAGCGAAGTCCTTGAATTAAAAAATGAACTCAAATAATAGAGATCTGTGGTTTATTGAAGGCTTACGTTATCATGAAAACCTGCATGTATTACATTTTTAATACACATTTTCTTCTTAAAGGGGGGAAATACATGGGATCCGCAGCAGTATAGTGTATTTTTCTTTTTGATTGATGATGTTACAGATTGATCAAAGCATGAAACTGTACAGGAGTGGCCAGGTGAATCAGGGTCCCACCTGTCTGGAGGCTTACTGGGATCTGATTCGTGTAATGTGGGCGGGCTTGAACGGGGATGATTGGGAAGCGTGCACTTGCAGAGCAAGTCTTCTAGAAGTAGACTGATAACAGATATCTCGCCCACTACTTCTATAAACTTTCCAACACCATAGACACATCAGCTTTTAGCTGTAATTTATATTCATGATTTTCCCCCAACCCCAACATTTTCATCATTTTACTACCATTTGAGTGTTAACTGTTGCCAGCACTGGAGGAACACTGCTTTTCAAAGATGTGGTTCATTATATCATTGTGTTCACTGGTTAAAGCTTTCCATGCAGACATCTCGGAAATAGGATCTGGCGCTCCGGACTCAGGTAAGAACAGAGCAGAAACACTTCACCTGCCGAGTCCGACGCTCGCGTGTAGTGTAAACAAAACAATTAGCATTCAGTGGAATATTATAACTAGTTTACGTTGTTTAATTAAAAAGAAATGGATAAATAAAAATGGGATTAAAAGGGCATTTACCCCACTAACTGGCACGCTTAGGCTACTTTTTCTTAACTGTTTAACAGCCTAAAATTAACATCCAGGTGATTAAGAAGTATTTTCTTAATTCGTGGTCATTTATGCGCCTATTGCAAAATATGCTCTTATAATACTAGTTACATATAGTAATACAGTCAGTCCTTGCAAGTGCTATGGCAATTTTTTATCATTTTAGTAATTTATTGAATTTTTCCATTCTCTGGTGCAGTTGTGTTGCCATATTATCCCGAGGTGGCGGTGTAGTAACGCATATAAATGCTGGCATATTCTCTAATTGTACATCACCTTTTTGTCGTGTTGAAGCATGAGCTTAGCCAGCCAATGAAAAGCTAAAACAATTACAGACTATTTCAAGCTACGAAAAATTCAAATAGCCTAATGTGTTTGCAGTTTGTACACTCTGATGGTAAAGCTCATAGAATATCCTGTCAACAGTAGTTGAACATATTTCTTCGTGAAAAGCCATAACCACATTCAAGTTCTTTACATTTTTTCCAGAAATCTGTTCCACAGTCTTATACCACCATGTCACAATTTATGCTTAAAAGCGTCCATATGTTAAAAGAAACTGATTTGGGTTTTCTAATTGATCTAATGTTACAGCAGTTTCTCATGGGCCCTGTTTCAGCCACCTGTCCCATTGAATAGGGTCTGTCTTCTCAGTGGTTGGAGAACATTGTGGATAATCTGGGGATTATTAGAGCGAGTCTGCAGAACCCATCATGTTATCAGTGCAGTAGCATGTTTTACAACCTTTAATAAGATGTGCCATTCATGAGCTTGTGTTCATTTATTCAGTACATTTGTTGGTTTCCAATTGGGCTTCATAAAATCTCAGTTGCCATCAACATATTTTCAAGATACTGAGACAGAGACATTAGATTTATACAGAGATTTTTCTCTTTGTTAAAGCCCTAAATTACATAATTGAAGAGATCAGATGTAGGTTTGAGAATGGTCAGGTTTTTATATTGTAGTTTTTGGAAAATGTTCTAGTTTTACTGGAAATTTGTAGCACATCTTGCTTTTATTTGATCATGTGTACGACTCTGATCAAGTCTAACTTTCAGAATGTTTTTAAAAGCCCCGTCTGATTGTGGTACAGTAACATTATTTTGTCTATGGGGCAGATAATAATGTATATTGCCGTTTTAGAACTTCTTGGCAAGGTCCTTCAACAAGAGGTACATTTAAAATATTATAAATATAAAATATTATTACAATTTCAAATAACTATTTTCAATTTCAGTATATTTCAAAATATAATTTGTTCATGTGATTGCAAAGCTAAATTTTAAGCAGCTATTATGCCGGCCTTCAGTGTCACATAATCCTTCAGCAATTATTCTAATATGCAGATTTGGTGCTCAAGTAACATTTCTTATTATTATCAATGTTGAAAACAGTTGCTCTGCTTAATATTTTAGTGGAAACTGTGATATACTCAGTTTTTTACAGGATTACTTGAATAGAAGTTCAAGAGAACAGCATTCATTTGAAACAGAAATCTTTTGTAACATTAGAAATGTGTTTACTGTCACTTTTGATCAATTTAATGCATACTGAATAAAAGTAGGAATTTCTTAAAAAAGTAGTGTACATATGGATAGTTAGTTGACAAAAGATTAGACAAATGGGATTGATTAATCCTATCCATAGACAAAGAAAAAAGGACATACACAATATTGTTCTGAACACATGTTTTTCCTCAAACGTCTTTTACTGTATTTTAATACACTCTCAGCCAGTGTTAGCCAGTCATGTCCTTACTCCATCATTACAGTGAGAACATCAGCTGTGTGCATGATATCACAGTGATAATAGACGGATTGGCTGTCAAATGCAAGGTTACGGTCTGTTTGCTCTGAACACATTTAAATCTCTGGTGTGTCTGTCTCTGTGGCAGCTTCAGGCAGGCAGCTATAGTAGCAAGCAGACATAATTAATGCTGTCCCTGATTGATAACCATGAGTCTGGTGAGCAGCTAGGGTAAAGAAATCACCTTAAACTTGACTGATTATTTGTCTGGAGGCCATTGCATTACTGTACTGTAAGAAAAATGCAGGCTGGCTGTCTGGGTTACACAGCCATGGAGACTAGACCTAATCTGGACAGTGTTACCCTTATCACATCACATCAGTAGGCAAGAAGTAAAGAGCTCAACCTGTGCCTTAGTAAAATCTGCACATGCTTTCAGTTAGCTATATGTTTTTAAACTAAATGAGAGAATGATGGACTGTAAATGCGAAGAAAAGCTTCCATTGTGTGGAATTAAAGGTTCAGATTTCGATAGATTTGTTGCACTTTCAGTTGTTTTTCATAACGTTAAAGGTAATTATA